ATCTAAAAATCAACCAAGTAACAAAGTCAAGCAGCTAGCCATCCTATAATAGATCAGTAGTCCACATCTCAAATAAAATCAACGTTCATATGATCGGATAACTGACTATTCATAAATCCTCTATGTGCATCTAAACCCGCGAAATGGTTTGGTGAGAGGACTATACACAATCCGATTTTGGCCTAGTCCAAACTCAAACAAAACTCGGGTGACGAAACGATTTCACTGACCAAGTGCGAAACAATTCACTAGCCCAACAGACCAACCCCAATGCAAAACGGTTCACTGGTGTGAGTCTGGAAGATAAATCAACAACCACATCCGTTCACATGAATCAAGACATTACCATCCTAACGTTTTTTGTGTTTCTAAGTCAACGGACACACACACACACACACACATGTCTCTAGGTCTTGTTCATGACACACAAGGCCACTAAAGTCATGAACTCCTATTGGTTCTCAAACACGATAAGGAGTAATAAATACAACTAATTCTATGTAATAATATCATAGCATGTCAAATACATTAAAATAAAGATCGTAAAACATGAATAGTGACTATGAACAATATATGCATGCAAACTGATTTCATCAATATCTTACTATTCATATCTCTAAACTTCTCATAAAAGTATTCTAAAATAATTTTTTAAAATAATAAATTTATTTATTTTAAATAATCCTTTTGCAAAATAAATTCTTTTAATTTATTTCTCATTATAATAATCCAAAATAATCCCTCTTCCAAAATAAATTATTTTAAAATATTTATTATTATAGTAATTTAAAATAATCTATTTTTCCAAAATAAATTCCTTTAAATTATTTCTCATAATTAATAATTCAAAATAATCTTTAAAAATATTCTTTCTTTTAAAAACATCTCATAATTAATCATAATCTAGTTTTCAACATATCCACTCATCATATACGGCTTAAAAATATATATCATGCTCATCACTTTACAGATATAACTACATCAGTATTATTTATCATATTATTATTATTTAATATCATTCATCAACAAACCCACACAAATTATCACAATATACCCTACAACATAATCATATTACAGTCTGATTATGCACATAATTAATTCACATCAGGTCTAAAAATTTGTAATGACGAGTCAATGAGAAAAGGATCTTGCTTCAAGGATGTTAAGGGTATCGTAGAGGGGCAGTGGGGGTCGTCGGGGTGGCTGCGCATGCAGTTCACAACGTTGCAACTTCACAGGATTCAGAATCCCGTGAAGTTGCAACCAAACTTCACAGGATTCAGAATCCTGTGAAGTTTGCCACTATATCCACCACTACGCCAAACTTTTTTGTTTAGCGCTAATTAATAAAGCACTAAACTTCACAAGATTATAAATCTCATGAAGTTTTCGTAACTTATTTAGCATTTTTGACCGAGTTTCAACAAGCTGGCTGAAACTAGGTCGAAAATGCTAAATAAAAGATAAATACGTTGATTTTTAGAAATAAAGTTCTAAATGGGCTGATTTTAAAATTTTGTCCAAAAATACCGCATAAAACTAATGAGCGTGTAGTTTTATTGTTACAGATAGACCCTCTGAGTGTTTTTTTATTCTTTCTCTCAGAAGAAGGAAAGCTTTTTACACAAATAGACCTCCTTCGGATAGAAGGGTTAAAAATAATTCTCTCAAGGAGTCTATTGTTGGCCTTCTTGTTTTGATGATGATTTATAAACAATTTACATCTAATATTATTTGTCTAGTATTTGTATTTTATATTTATTCTAGGCAAATAATATGTTGGAGAATGGATGGAATAGAGCTTCAACGATCATATCAAATGGAGGTTGGCGGATATTGTGGAGTGAAGCCTACGCAATTCAAAGTTAAAGATCAAGTTCAAGCTTTATCCGCAAGTGTACCAAGTTGAGCTTATTGAAGATCAAGATCGGCTTGGGTAATCTAGTTTAGGTTTTATATTATGTGTGTTAGATACTCTAAGCTCAATATCATATACACACACATTTTATTGGTTTCCTTGTATATATATGTAGTCATATATATATACAACACAAGTTTTGGTTTTTATGTTTATAAATATGAAATTACATATTTCATATTTATTATTGTGTTTTGGTTTAACTACTTAGATATGAAACAAATATATTTTCATATACATACTCATATGTTTTATTTTCTATTGTATTTGTAAAAATATTGTATTCTTAGTTTTTGGACTTAACAATAATCATATACATATTTTATTAAGTCTACATAATCATTGTGCAAAGTTTCAAAACATGGTTTACCCAAAATATCAAACTATTTTGTAAAATGATGATATTTTTTATTTGGGAAGTCCTTTTTGGAAACCAGTCATTGTAGCATGTTTATTATCATGTCTACAATCATTTTCCAAAGTTTTATATTTTTTGAAATTTATTTGATATTTTTAAACAGTGTTTTAAAATTAAAAAACTGTTCAAAACTGTATATTTTCATATATCAGTTCACGGTCGACCGCACCTGAGTTCTTTTGTCAGTAGGCAACAGAGACTTTCACGGTCGATCGTCGTGGTCGACCGTGAGCTCGAGATTTCCCACGGTCGACCGCCACAGTTGATCGCCACGGTCGACCGTCGAACTCTCTGGAGTTTCTCCTGTTATTTTTGTTGCTCGCGGTCGATCGCCGTTTATCCCAACGGCTCTTTTGTACAGAATCAGATTTCTGATTCTTGGGCTGTTTGGTCTTTTCCTTTGGGGTTTTTGCTGTTGCTTCCTCTTCCTATATAAACCCCCAAACCCCCTTCTATCTCAGCAACCAATGGGATATTTTAAACAAGTTTAAAAAAGTTTTAACAGGGGTTTAAGTTTGGTTTAAAGCTGTTTTTGGTTGGTTCACAAGTGGAGGAGATCATCTACATTGTTTGAGCTTCCTTTTAATCCATCTCCTAATTGAGTTCTCACCTTGTTAGAGAAGAGAAAAAACACTTTGTATTGAGCCTACTTGTGAGGATTCACTTGTAATACACTTGTACACCGAGAGAAGTGTGTGGTGAGAGACGGGGTCGAATCCAAGAGGAGTGGCGTCGGTTGACGTGCCTAGGGAGAGGTTGTAACCGAGCACTTGAGGGAGACACGGCTAGGTCTAACACTTAGTGGGTGTAGAGTGGGATTACAAGAGTGTTGTTTGTAAAGTTTTCGGTTAGCTAGAAAACCGAGTGTGAGGTATAAACGTTGTTCGGGTGAACGTAGAAAACCCGGTTGTGATAGTGGATTTCTCCCCGGGAGTGGGGAGCGGAGACGTAGGACGGAATGTCCAAACCCCGTGATCATATTGCTTGTTTGAGTTTGGCTTAGCACACTTATATTTGTTCATCTTTATAGCCTTTCTCTCATTGTTTATTTCATCCACTATATCGTTTGTTTATGTTGCCCTTGTGTTTGCATATCCTTGCATATATCATATAGTATACCTCTTTGTTAGGATACATCACCTTGTGTATATTGTATATTCTTACACTTAACTCTTTGTATATCTATCTTGCAAGAATATATTTGTTAATTAGTTTTAATTGACATAAAGTCGGATTAGATTAGCATAAGACCCTAATCACCTCCCCTCTAGGGTCTAACAATTGGTATTAGAGCTTGGTGCTCTTTGATTTAAGGTCTAATCACCTTGAGTTAAAGATCCAAGTTATCTTTTTGTGCTAATCTTGTTTTGATTACATTTGTATCTTGCTTGCATATTTTTACAAATTATGGATATGAATGATGCATCTTGTTTAGTCTATGATTCTAGTATTGCTCCTAAATTCAATGTTTTCCTCTATGCTCAATGGTGTTTTAGATTCAAAATATTTGTTCAATCTAAAAATATCGATTTATGGAAAGTCATTGATTGTGCTTATATTATGCCCATGTTGGAGAAATCCAAGTGGAGCAAACATGATAAAAAGATGTTTATTATGAACAAGCTTATGTTAGAATTTTTATTAAATGCATTTGATTCATCAATGTCTAACAAGCTTGATTCTTTTGATAGCGCTTATACATTATGGAAATTCATAGAAGCGCATCAAGGAGACTTGGAGGCGATCCGACAAGCTTTGGAGGATCCCGCTTCAAGTTCAAAAGGAGCTTCATGCACACGAGCACTAGGCGATAGCCCTAGTGAGGTTTGCGAGTTCGAATCTATTAATGATTTACGAATTTTCTTCCACCATTATAGGTACTGCACTTCCAGAAAAAGATGCAGCGGGCCACCCGACTAAAGCATGGACGGTCCACAAACGCAGCCCATCTGAAATTGTCCCCCAGATATTTCTGTACCTAAAAATTCGAAGAGGGTGAGGAGGAAACAAAACAGAAAAGAAAAGGAAAAAAAAAAAATCAAAAAATTGAAACTACTACCCTATCGAATCACGGGTCGACACAAAAAGCCCAAAACTAAATCTAATACCGCTAACAATCAGCTGTCTTATCTCAAACACCGCTCATCAAATACGAAAAATTCATATAAAGGATACGTAAGTAATCTTCTGTACACATTAAAAAAAAAAAATGTAAATATGGCACATTTCCATAAGCCCCGCTGATAATCTCAGTTGAAGTCGTGAAACTCGTGCGCTTCATAAATGCCAACGTAATTCGAGAAATCGCTCTCTCTCCTGACATTTTCTCTCTCTCTCTCTCCGGCAAACAGAAAACTCTTTTCGATGAACTGCCTTCAGAACCTTCTAAAGTTCGTAAATCCCTCAATTAGTCTCTTAATTATTTATTTTCTTACCCTGTTGATCTATTTTTGTCTTATGAAAATGAATTCCTCCAGATCCTCTGCTCCCCCAATGGGCAAAACCCTAAATTGCAGGTCGAAGAGACCTCCAGTGTTGAATCTGGTACCGATCTGAGATTCTCTGACGCGATTTTTTTTTTGAAAATCTTTTTTTGAGTTAAATTACAATATTTGATTTGTTGTTTCTCTTTTTTTTGTG